ACTCCTAAACCAAGGAGCAAACCCTAATGGGTAACTTCTTTAAGAACCTTCTATGTCTTGGCATGGCACAGGTGTAAAGCTTTTTAAACTAAATGTTAATAAAATTTTCGACACCTTCACCTCCATCTATCAAAAAAAAAAAATCACAATCAACTCTATCTTTCTATATTCCAATGAAAGAATGTTAGTTGTATTAGAAGCACTTCTGAAGTCTTTAGTTTGATTTAAGGGGTAAGTCCTCAGTTTGATTTAAGAGAATAACAACTACAAAAACAGACTCGTAAACTTCCCATCTACATAAAAACAGTTTTGCTTTTACTCCCCATTCAGTGATGGCAATGATTGTTGTCTCATATGATGAACATTCAACAAATATTAGTTAGAAGCAAAGAATTTTATTGTTTTTTACACTGTGCCAAATTGAATAAACGTCCCTGGCTCTCAATAAATATTAATTAATGTCCTTGGAGCTATTAAAAGTAATTAATATAGTCAATGCCCCGGAGTTTATGCATCACTGCAAAATAAGTGGCTCATCTCCATTTTGAGGGTCTGCACTATCTCTAAAATTTTCTTAGAGTTTATGATTAGACCATCCTTGACATTATAAGTTAAATATTAATATTTTGACCAAGCTAGGTGAAAACCAGAAAAACTCAAAACAAAGACTAAAACTCATCTTTGAACCTGCTTTATGATCATAAAGGGCCAAAAATAAATGAAGTGCATTACGTTAAGCTTCTCTACTTCCATGCTAATCTGCTAGGATTAGTTTAGTTGCTTTAGAAGAATAATGAGCTCAAGATAATGTCTTAACCTGAAGCTGGAATTTACTAATATTGACTAAGTGTCACCATGAACTACACGGACTTGTGTTGCTGAACCAAAGACACCCATTAGTCCTTCCCCATCAATAGCCCCTTCTTAAAGAATCTGCCTCATCACAACTCAGAAGATGTCACTCTACTGGGGAAGGCAGAACCTGATCTATGGCCATCGGCTCCTCCCACAAATGTGTGTGGAACTGAGAAACAGAGTTTGATTCCGTCAGACGGCTTTGGAGCTGAAGTTCATGTAAAGTTAGACTCACATGGCATGCGAAAGTTAAATTTAAATAACAAACTTATTGTCGGGCGCCTGGGTGGCTCAGTTGGTTAAGCGACTGCCTTCGGCTCAGGTCATGATCCTGGAGTCCC